CTCGGCGATCTGCTGTGCATAAAGAGTGGAGTTCGAGAGATCTGAGACCCGTCCCCTATTCCTCCGGATTTAAGCTTGGTCTTAAATCTCGAGAAGAGCCGTGATCTCGCTTGGTCGAGATCATCGCTGCAGCGATTACTTCCTTCGTGAAGTAAGAGCTTTGATCAACTTAATCTGTCAACCGGATCTGATCCGTAGCGGTCCACGGATATTAACGTCCCCGGCACAAGCAAAGTTCCCACGCAATCAGCGGGTGATAAACGTCCGTTGCGCTGTTTGACAAGAGTCGTATCTTTTATATTTTCATTGTATAAGGAGATCTTATAAAAAGATCAATTTTTTATTTGAGTTTATTGTAAGCGATTAAAGTTGTAACAGATTCAATCACAATGAAAACAATGATTTTTGACCCAAACAATATATTATTCTATTGTTATATTAGACATGTTACATCTCAATTATTATCTCTTAAAATTACTTATAAAGTTGTGATTATGAATCGGGCCCACTTATATTAATTTGGTTATTTTGGTTGATAGACATTTTTGGCCTAGATGAAAACACGACCCGAAGCAATTTTGACGGACCAAGATAGATAGCTTACAGAAGCTATATCAAAAGAGCATGTGCTTCACATTTGTCATATTATTTCCAACTCCAACTTTAGTGGTTGGTTCACAGCGACTCTTCATATCGATATTAAAGTTGGTGTGCTGACTTTTACAAATTATACAAATTATACAAATTAGATATGTCATAAGAGTTTGAACATGAATGGCCTAATTGCAAAATATGGGTTGCATTTGAACAAAGATGTGAAAGATTTGTACCAAATTAAAGATTGTTGGGTTCCTTATACCTTCGTGGATACTTTTTCGGAGGAATGGCTACAACTGGTAGATCTGAGAGCGTCCATGCTTTTATCAAACTGTTTATTGCCTTCCATGTACGGTTGGAACAAGTTGCTAAGCAAGTACGTTACGGTAGAGTTTGGATACCATGGCGTTTTTGCCGTTTCCGTTTTTTTTCCAAAAAAAACAATGAAACGCGTTTGGCAACCGGGGCGTTTTTTTGACTTGACCCTTTAAAAAATCCAAAAGTTAAATACTTTTCTCAAAACACCAAAAAAGTGTTTTGAGATTCCGTTTTTTTCATCTAAGCCGCCGCCGCTCGCTTGCCCGCCGCAGCAGCTCCGCCCAACGCTCGCGCACAAAACCCGGGAACGCCCGAGACGCGCGGGGCCCGCGGTGGCGGCCGGGGTGGCGCCACCGAAGCCGCGGGGGCCGAGCCGGGATGCCGTCTCGGCCGTCGCCGCCGCAAGCGCGGGGGCTGCTTCCCAGCGCTCCGTGAGGGATCCGCCCGCCCGGTGGCCAGCAGGCGGTGCTGATGCGAGATCCGCCGCTGCCGACTAAGGCGCCACCCGGCGTGAAGGGACGGCGCCCCTGGCGGGTGTGCCGCCACCGGCCGCCGCCGAGCCGAGCCCGTGCGCGAGCAACCGCCGGCCCGTCGCCGCCGTGCGGTCCCCCCCGGCAGGGCGCGCTGACGGCACGCCGCTCGCGCAGGGTGGCCCGGCGGAGTCGGTATGGGTCAGGCCTGACCAGCGTATGCCGTAGCGACGACTCGCATCGCGGTTCGCACAGCCGCCGTCGGCTCATGGGCGCGATGCAGGGCGAGCCCCATGCACCCCAACGACAGCGCCACGCGGGCCGCCGCCGGCCATTGTCACGGGCGCGCCACCGCCCCTACGGCCCGCCACCTGCCCTCCGTCGCCCGTGGGGACGACCGAGGACCGTCGACCACGTGCTGTTCGCACCTGCTGGTATATTAATAGTAACTAACAATCGTGTTTTCAAAACACTTTTGAAAAAAAAACACCTTGGCATGGTGTTTTTCTAAAAAACACTACAAAAAAAATCGTCTTTGTTAAGTTATTCTTTTTCTGTTCTTTTTTTTCGTTGTCTTTCCTATAAAATAATAACTAATAACATATTTTTGCTTAAAAAAATTAAAATATTGTTTTTAACTCTTTCAAAAATCATATTGGTCATGTTGATTTTTTTTAAAGAAATGATATGCGGGTAATTCTTTTTCTTTTAGGTCAATATAGCTATCAAAGATATTGAACAAAAAGATTGTCATAACACGATGTTGGCAACATATAGAGTATCTTCCTCAAGGACATTGTCTCCATTAGAAGAACAAGCCTATCATGTTTAGACAACATTTCAAAAAGTTTCAAGAGGAATTTGAGAGAGCAACTCGATATTCAATTCTTCAAGAGAATAGCCTAAAACTTGTAGTGCAATAATATAAGGAGAATGATAGTCAAAGGCACAAAGTCTTTTGGGATGGTAATTAAGGTGGCTTCCTATACTTGCAAGCATTTTGAATTTTGGGATATACTTTGCTATCATGTACATAAGATATTCCTTCATAAAGATTGTTATGAAATTCCACTGATGTAGTTACCGTCAAGATGGTGCAAAGACTCATCAAGTGAAAAAAAAATGCTAATGCTTGAAGAATCACTTGATGGGAACTCTAATGATGCACGCGATGATGTTGGTGTTGATGAAATAAATTTTGTCAATTGTCCTCCAAAATCAACAACGAAGGTCACCTAAAGAAGAGTAGAATGATGTGTGGAGCTAAATTGAGAAAACAAAGAAGGAAGACTCATTCTAATGCTTGTCTGGACAAAGAAAAGATTCATTCATCAAGTAGATTAAAAAAAAGAGTTTCTGCAAATGATATTGGCTTGAATCCTATATTTTCTTCGAAGTACTAAGGATTAACAATTTCTTAAGGAGGTGATGTATTTTGACTTTATTATTATGTTTACTTTTCTATAAAAAAATTGTGATAAATTACTTGTTTTAGTTTATGATCCAAAATTTTAGTATTATGCTTTATATCAATTATTTATATTTCAATTTATTATCTATAGGTTTAAGAGTATCGACAATTTTGTATAGCTTTTTTCTATGATAAGTTAGTCATTACATTTTGTCAATAGATAAGCTCTCTAAAAGATACAACAATATTTCATAAGCAAGCAACAGAAATTAGATAAAATGCTCGGAAAGATGCATGAATATCATGCATGAAACCAAGAGAAAATCCTCCATTGATGTCTAGTCTTACAATTAAGCAAGAGAACAAGTCGGGGTAATTTTGTTAATAGTTTACCTTGTGAAAGTATTTATTAAATGTTGCATGTTTCCTATGGATTCTCTACTTTCAGTAATAGTGGATGGAACAATTTTTCAAAATAGGCCGATTTAGTTTTTTATTTTTCAAAATCGACCGTTTTTTTTATTTATTTATCAAAATCGACCCGGTTTTGTGATTAGCAGGCTAATCACTATCCTAAATAGTCGGGGTTGCCAACCCCGACTAATTAGGACATTAATTTTTAGGGTTTAAGGTCTTTAATTAGGGTTTAACACCCTCCTAAATAGTCAGGATTGACAACCCCGACTATTGAGGATAGTGATTAACCTGCTAATCACAAAACCGGGTCGATTTTGATAAATAAAAAAAAACGGTCGGTTTTGAAAAATAAAAAGCTAAATCAGCCTGTTTTGAAAAATTATTCATAGTGGATGTAGTTAAGGTGGTAACCAATACCCATTAACGCGTGCCCTTAGGGGACCCGTTAACATAACCCAATATTTAATAACTTACCAGGTGCTCTCTTAAAAGATGAAACTTCATATTATCATAAACTTAATTTTGCAGGTCTGAAAATTAATTATTCAATACAAAAGCAAGACATTGACAATAGCAATGTCTTGTTCTGTCCCGGTAAACCACTTTGATGATGAAATAATAATAATAATAATAATAATAAACTACTGTCATCAGTTCCATTACATCCTATGTTGAAAGAACTTAACTAACCCGATGAACGAGAGTGGTCGAATTTGTCTCAGGAGATCGATTTTCTTGGGATGCCCAAAATGGAATCTTAATCCATCACAATCTGCAACAAAACAAGAGAAAAATATAATCACCAATTCTTGTCAACTATTTTCCTTTGGCATCTAAAATACAATCTTCATCCTAGAAGTCTGCCGAATTATTACGAAGTCAGAATTTAGTGAATCACTTGTAGGTACAGGAAATTTTGACTACAAGATATGCAATGGATGGCATCACTTGTTGAATGCATCACTTGCTAATCATAGTAAAGTAAACGACAGCTTGTTGAATGCATCACTTGCTAATCATCAATTCAAGCATTAAATTTTACACACATGAGAATGTAAAAGGAGGCAAAAGACAAAGATTTACTAGATTCTAGAAAAGGAAGTCTCTTGTGACTGCTACACTTATCCCAGCCATATAATGATATATTCAATGCACTTTGAACAGACATACATAAGAAAAAGAATAAATGTAAAGCAGAACGCATAATCATTTTAATATTTTGTATATTTGTTTCATTGAACACAAACTCTCATGAAAACCTTCAGTTGCCTCTTATATACAACATATCGATGTCACTCCGAAACTTTCAGTAATTGAGTCTTGAGAGAATAGATATAGAGTTGGTCATGCATCCAGTATTTCTGAGCAATCCCTTGAGCTAATTCAAGGAACAAGGCCAAGACTTGAAAAACAATCATGTATCTATTACATTTTTTTATCCTGGAGCGCTGGAATAAGATCAAGACGTGGAAGTTTTCTAGTCCGACCACGAATTAGGACAACCATAACATCATCAAAAAGGGACTTGAATTCAATCTTTTGGGTCGAGCACAAATCCCTTTTCTCTTCCGTTTAGCTCACTATCTAATTTAGGCCTGATCAATATAGCAATTATAAGAAAAAAGAGAAAAAGAAACTCAAGAATGCCAGATAATTCAAATCATAGAGTTGTTCATGACAACCTGAATCAAATTACATACAAACACACACACACACATACGCATATATATGCTTATAATTACCTATCATGCTTCTAATGGATTGAACTATTATAGAGGAAAAATATCTAGAGTGTCAACCAAAGAGGAAAATAAGTCATGTGTTACAAAATAGCCACAGTAATATTCAAAGCCTTATTCATACATTAACGAAAGAGTATGCAGTAGAGTATCAAACTCTTCTCAAGGACAAACAAGCAAGCAAGCGATAACTAATTCGAGTGTTTAACAACAACCGGACTCCTGACAATGTGCTCGCCGGAAACCCATGAGAACTGTCCCTGCGTGTATTGTTCACTCGGGGAGCTTCCTTTCTTGCTAAACTTCACAGTAAAAGTTTTAGATTCTTTTGGAGATGAAAAATGAAGTTCCTTCGGCTCAATTTCCATGACTGTTCCTTCAGGGTCACTGCTATCTTTTAGCTTATAAACCGCTGGGCCCTTCTCCTCCACAAACGTCACGGTTCGACTTATCGTCTTGGCAGACGACGAAGATAAAGATACCATGACCGACGGATAATTCAATTCTTCCGGAGTTATGTGCTGAAGTTTATAACATTTTGGATCGCGTTTGATGATTTTTTTGATATTATTAGCATCGCTGTACAAGCCGCACAGGTAGCGAACGTAATCCTCAGGATCGACATCGTAGACAAGTCCCGGGTCCATCGCTCTAGAGGGATTCACATGACCTGCACCCATCGCAAAGTAAGTGGCTGTTTCCAGGGAGTTGGATTTCTCGTCAACAATAGGTAATCCATCATGGTCTAGTATGTCAGCAGTAGTCATGATTGCCGATTTAATAGCAGCTGGCGACCAATCGTTATGGATGCTTTTGATCAGTGCTGCAATTCCAGCAAGATGAGGTGTTGCCATTGAACAACCGCTTTCAATATTGAATGCGGAGTCCGAACGGGCAGAAGAGTCAGGCCCGACGTCAAATGCCCAAGCTGATAGAATGTCTGAACCAGGGCCGATGATATCAGGCTTTAGGATTCCACCATTTATCGTGCTTGGCCCTCTAGAAGAAATGTCAATGACTGCAGGTGCTCGTCGCTTGTGAAATTGCATACCTTTGAAAAATAACCTTGCTTTAGGACTTTTTTCGGTTTTAGCATAATTGACGATTTTCAGAGAGTCGACGTGGCTTAAATGAGCGGCGGGAAGGACGTGGGCTTCAGCCCATGTTGTAAACCCATTCCACTTTTGGTTCAAGACTATTAGGGCATCCCCTTGGGCTTCTTTAACAGTCCTGCCCTTGTCCAATCTCAAGCTGTTCATTTCCCCGCACAATACCATCATTCCTTTCACATTCTCATCATCCAAGGACCCATTCATGCATGACAATTTCGCATCGGTATCTTTAATACCCGGGTAGGCTATAGGTAGCCATGGTGACTTATAGTCTTCCGGTTGGTAAGCAGACTCCCCATACAACTTCATCCCGTTACCAAGCTCCACAAGCACCCTCATCACTCGATCAGTGGTGCTGGCTCCAACCGTCATAACCCACGGTGCATCGTTGGATATGGAGAACGGTATTCTCCCCTCATTCCCGGCACAAGCACTAGTTAAGATGCCTTTCTCCATTGCGACAAAGGAGCCCCTCATGACACCGTCCTCATAGAATTGCACAAAACCGCCAACGATGGACATTGATAGCACATCTACTCCATCTTCAATGGCCTCATCAACACCGGCCAGCACCCGCCAGTCATTACACCCGCCTCTTACACATGTCTTGTAAGACGCTAAGTGAGCTTTAGGTGCCATGCCAACCGCGGTCCCCCTACCTTGGCCAAGGACGTTAGCATCGAAAACCTCAACTCCTGTCGCAATGCCAGCACAGTGGGTCCCGTGGCCCTCGTCGTCCAATGGATCCCCGAGAAAACCGGATAGCCTAGCACCGATGAGTTTTTTGTTGCAAAAGGCTGGTTGGAATCTGTTGCAAAATGGGTTTTGAAATTGACAACACCCACGCCATTTTTTTGGAGGGTCCGGCATATCTGTGTCATTAAAGGAGGGATGATTCGGCACAATACCAGTATCTAAAACACCGATAACAACTCCCTCGCCACCTTTGGACTTAGCCCATATGCTTTTCCCATATTGATTCAACTCCAAGAATTGTGGAGTGTAGGTTGTGCCAAGTGGATGAAACCAGGTCAGGTTCCAGCAGATTACAAAACCGCATCCATTGGATTCCATAGCCTTCAACTCCTCGTTAGTTAGCCTAGCGGCGAACCCGTTGAGTACATGACGGTAGGAGTAGAGAAGCCTCGGCTCTCCAGAGTCGAGGGTGGTATTTGGAAGGAAGGACATGTACCAACTTTCACGATCTTCATAGCTGAGGAGTCCAGCATCGTCGATCCCATCTACTTGGACAATGTAGGTTTGGATTTCACGATCTTCATAGCTGAGGAGTCCAGCATCGTCGATCCCATCTACTTGGACAATGTAGGTTTGGATTTCGTGGGTATTAGCTTCATTGTTTGGGTTAACAATAGGCAAGAGTTGGGCTAGAGTTTGGACAGTAAGAAAATTACTAACCAATAAGAGGATGATAGATGATAAGAGGAAGGGAATGGCTTTATTTTGCGCCATCATCAGAAGATACTGATGGGGAGCACTCATACTTTGAAAGAGGTGGTTGTTGTATGCCAGGCTATTCTTAAGATATAAATAGAGGAATAAATGTCTACAGATTGATCACTTGGATTCTCTTTAACACATCTACTAACACTGCATACATAGCCAATGATCTCCTCATCTGTTGAGGAATCCAATCTGATTGGTTTTAGTAGGAAGCGTTGCACTAGCTATTAAAAAAACGACATGTAATTGGCTAGGACACGAAAAAAAAAAGGTTGTAAAGGGAGAATCCAAAGCTATGAATGCACTGATGAATGAAGAGAACAATGTTTTATTGCGCATGTCTAGTAGAGCCAATTGTTTCAGTTTATTGAGGAGGGGTAAAAAAAACAAAAGCAAAAACAAAAAAAAACAAAAAAAGGGGCAGACTGATTGTACATTATCGACTGATTAGACTAAATACAGGGTTAAATAAAGCAACAAGGGAGAATCAGAGCACAACACAATGGGTGTGTATCACATTCAAGTATACAATCAGAAATTTCTCAATTCATCTTCATCCATGTTAAGATGCAATGGGTGTGTATCACATTCAAGTATACAATCAGAAATTTCTCAATTCATCTTCATCCATGTTAAGATGTAAACTTCTATATTTCCATACATCAGATACTCCGCAGTAGCAGGACATAAAGAGAGAACCCAAGGCTAAAGGAATGCAGATGACGAAGTTTTATTGCATTGTTAGAGCATCAAGAAGCAATTATTTCAGTTTATTAAGAAGAAGAAAACAAATTTAGGGGCGAATTGATTGCACACTGTCTACTGATTAGACTAAGCACAGTGATGAATAACGAATCAAGAAAAAAAAATAAGAATAAAATATTAGTACAAATGTTTTTTCAATTAAGGTGAAACTAAAATGGGGACTAGATTGAAGATGGGTACCTTTGATGATGCCGATTCTTATCAAGACGAGACGAAGCCGAGGAAGAACAAACGAAGTAGGTACAGCAAATTTGTTCACAATTGATGATGCCCTGAATTGTTATCAGAAGCCGTGCGCTTGTAGTGCTAATTTGGGCTGGGCTTCTTAAAAGGCCCAATAACGGTCAACAATATACTCGTCCTAATTTTTTTCGGATCACCGACATGAGTCTTGTTTAATTCATTTCTGTTATTAGTCATCTGCTATATATATTAAATTAACTATTAGCATATCTTTCTTAATTATTTCCGATCAAGTTGTTATTAATCAACTTACCACCTCTACTAACTTATATATTAAGTGGCTTTATCGTACATGAGAAAACCATCTCAATCGGATATTCTCACATTTTATCTTCAATCGGAGCAACTCCCCCCCCCACACACACACCTCACACACACACATGAAATTGCTTCTTTATTCTATTTATCTTAGTGTACCTCTGAAAGACTGTTATAACATTCTCATTTAGGCTATCGGGAGCGGAGCTAGGTACTCTCAAAATCTTTTACTACCTATAGGTAGTTTATACAATGATTTGTTGTAATTTATTAGAAGGTGAGCCTTGGCGCAACGGTAAAGTTATTGCCTTGTGACTTAGAAGTCATGAGTTCAAATCCTAAAAATAGCCTATTCGCATGTGCGGGGATAAGGTTGTGTATATCTGACCCTCTTTAGAGCCTATAATGGTCGGAGCCTCGTACACCGGGCTACCTTTATTTGTTGTGATTTATTACTCTGCTTGAGTGACCCCTCCAAATTTAGAGTTAATCAATTGGGAGGGCCTGCTAAGAGAAAACAGGCCTAAAGGCCCACCTTTCTAGCTGAGTTGAGGGGGGTAGAGAGTCCCTGGTCGAAATTTCTAAAATTTTAGCAACTCTTTTTAAATTTCTCCCATTAATGACTTGGGCTTTTTTATTTTACTAGTTTTTATGCACATGCAATGCATGTGGTTAAATATCAAAAAATATTTTTTTTATATTTATTTCAATACTTTAAATAAGTGAGATTTATCTTGGGTTCAAATATGTATAATTGAATTATAAGATTTATTAGTATTTTATTTAAATATTAATAAAAATAAATATAATGGATTTTAAGCTAAACTTGGATGAATATATGTAACTGTGATATTATAATTGTTATTATGAACTGTAGTTATAGTAATGAAGAAAATATTTCAAAAATTTAAGTATATTCAAATATTTTTTGACTCAAAAAACTAAGATAATTGTTTGATTTATTACAAACTTGTAAATTCTTTTTCTTCTAAGAATTTTAAATTGATCACCACCACTAACACCTAACAGGAACTAAAGTATGAAAGTAAATCTTGATCAAATTTGGTCCCTTATTCAACATGACAACAATCTCGACAAGTAACAATTAGTAAGCCAATGATTTTTTTTAAAACATTGAATATTGAAGTTTGTGACAACCCCAAGCAAAATCATCACAACAGTAATTCTTTGCCAAATGGTTAAAGAGGCCACCTGTATATCATTAATGGTAGATCACATGCTGCGCTAGTTATCACGAAGATTTTTTTACGTCTAGTTGACAATATATGCATTTACAGGATCAATAAAAGCAGATTTTTATCAAATGCCTCTCACGAAATGCAGGATCATATCCATAGACAATAATAAAATATAGAAAAATGGTTAAATATCAAAGAGTAATTTTATGTGATGTAAGCAATCACATAAGCATACAAAACTACTAATAACTTTGTATAAAAATGCCTTATAAAAATTTCTAATTGTAATGAAAAATTAAGTTGTTATATAAAATGATTTAAAAATATTGTTCTTGAAAATTTCTAATTGAACCAAGCTCAATCTTTCTCCACCTTTATCTTTTTTCTGTGCAACTCGATCTAGAGTAGCATCTTCATCATCTACGTCAATTGTAATATCAGGCTGGAGTTAAATTTTTTCTGCTCATCACTCAACCGAGAATATTTAGTTTTTTTTAATTATGGAGATTGGAGTGTTACCTTCTGTTTAAAAAATATTCATATGGTCTTATAAATACATACACATACATGATATATATATTGTGGAGAAATCAGAAAAACCAGATTTTCTGGCATAAGTCGACTCATGCACAAGGGTAAGTTGACTTATGGTAAGTTGACTTGACAGTGTGCACAAGTCGACTTACGATCTGCGCTGGAATTGTGAATTTTTCCTTTGCCAAGTCGACTTATCAGGTTTGATAAGTCGACTTACGAAGTGTGCTCCAGTTGCTGTTTTTCTCTCTGCCAAGTCGACTTATGCTCTCTGTTAAGTCGACTTACGATGGGTTTTTTGCATAATCAGGTTTCCTGTTTGCAGTCTGATTGGGTTTTTGTTTTGATATAAATAGGGAAATGATTTGTTAGGGTTTTTAATCAGAGATTGAGGAATCTTTTGAGCATTGTGAGAGGGAGATATTGTGAGCAAGGTGAGATCTTTTGTTGAGGGTTAGTTTGAGAGTTTTGTGTGATTGTAACCCTTTGTACTCTCCTTGAATTAGTGAAATCTCCCCATCCTCTCCCCGTGGACGTAGGCAAGTTGTCGAACCACGTATATCTCTGTGTTTGGTTTGATGTGTCTTATTTGGCTTGGTTTGTGCAAGAGTGTGGCTTTCTTCTTCCGTGATCTCAAGTTCGTTGTGTGTGCGTGCAACGCTTCCGCATAGGCGCGCGACAAGTGGTATCAGAGCTCAGATTTCAGATCTGGGGTTTTGGATTAGGTGGAGGAAGATTCAGTTGGAAGCTTGGTTCTTGGAGTTCTAGGCTTTGGTGGAGTTAGGGTTTGAAGTTGCCGTTGAAGATCTCGCTTTCCTCGTGTGGTTAGGAGTTCTATTTGGAATCCAATCTAGGGTTCAGTTGGGTAATTTCTTATTCTTTTCAAAGTTTGGATCTTTCTCTACAATTTGGAATTTGTGATTATGGGTGAAGAAGTTGGTGAAAGCAGCAAGATGACAGGCACAGTTCAAGTGGGTTTTCAGAACACTAAGATTAGTGTAGTGAAATATGACGGTAAGATCAATTTTGGTTTGTGGATGAGCGACGTACAAGATGCGCTCAATGCTCAAAATCTGGAGGAGACCATCATGATCGATGTGAGGCCACCTAAATATGAAGAGGCGATATGTGAAAAGATGAATCGAAATGCTTGCGGGGTGATCAGGTCCTGTTTGGAATAGGAGCTGAAATACGATGTGATTGGGGTGACGTCTGCAATGAAGATGTGGGAGATTCTCAACAACAAGTATCTCACGAAGAGTGTTGAGAACATGTTGCACTTGCTGTGAAGATTATTCAGATTTCAGATGTCCAGAGGCACCTCGCTTGCGGCTCATGTGAACAACTACACTAAGTTGTTGTCGGACTTGGCGAACGTGGATGAGAAGATCACAGATGAGTACAAGGCTATTATTCTTTTGGGCTCCTTACCGGATGAGGAGTATGATACCTTCGTGCTTACGTTGCTGAACGGGAGATCTTCTATCACTTATAGTGAAGTGACTAACGCATTGACGAACTATGATTTGAGGAGGAAGGATAAGGAGACTTCCCGCGCTAGTACTTCAGGAGAGGCCTTGTCGACGAGAGGTAGAAGCTCATATCAGAAAGGTGGAAATAGAGGGAGGTCATGTAATGACCGTAAATTTCTAATACGGGTTTAAATAATTTTATGGTATTTAAATATTAAATATTATTTTTCTAAAAGAGTATTTGTATTTTTCCTAATTTCTCTAGAATTTTCTACGATTTAAAAATACGATATTATGTTATTTTAATAAGTTTTGCTAATTATAAATTTAATTGTTTTGGTAAAATTTTTAAATAAATAGTTAATTATTCATCATTGTTATTGTTATTATTATTTTGATCATAAATTTTAATATTTATTTTAAATAAATTTTATGATATTTTTTAAATTATTTAAAGGGGTATTTTTCCCTGTGTTTTTTCTCTCACTGGTGTTCACTCTGTATACCTCTCCCCAATTCATGCAAACCCCTCCGCCTCGTGTTTTCCCCCGACTCTCAACCCACGTCCTCCCATTCCCAACCACCATATCCCGCACAATCCCTCTCATTAAATTCTCCGCCGTTTTTACTCTCTCTCCAATCT